ACTGGAGAGTTTTATGGTGGAGGAGTGGAATAGAATTCCGGAAAGCATGTTAATTAATTTGGTGGGATCAATGAAACAGCGCTGTGAGCTCATTATTGAGAAGAATGGAGAACGGATTTCTTATTAATTATTATCAAATAAATTTGGTTGTTTTCATCTTTCAAATGACCCATTATTTATAAAATTGGGTTAAATCATTGAGGAGCAATGGCAAAATAAAAATGCATTCTTTCTGGAAAAAGTTCTACGAACTGAAATACCTAGGTAATATCAAGTATTTACTCCATTCCATTTCGTTCGAGGAATCAGCTATAATGTCATTCTCTTTTATGGCAATTCGAAGAGCATTCTTGATATACAAACTAATCTCATCCTTTTTACGCATTATATCTGTAGATTTTTGCCATGCAAATTTTTCCAATTCACCATCCACATCAATCTTAATTTTTTGTGGCTGGTATTCAGGTATTGATTCGTTATGGAAATATCGGATAATCCATCCTTCAGATTGAACATTTTCCGAGGCATAAAGACATTCTTTTCTAGGGCAATTAGGGCGATTAAGATATTTATATTTTCGCAAAATTTGTTGCCTATCGATTGTTAAATTTGGCAAATCATCCCCAGAATCGCTATTGTATTCTGAGTTTCCATCTGATAAACAATCATATTTTGAATGCGAATGCCATTGATTTGTATATATGCGTTGTTTATATATGTAGTATATAGTTATAAACTAGTGAGCAGGACAGGAGAAGGGGGAGCTGTATCAATGAAACAAATGAAATAGTTCAAGTTGGAATTTTAATTTTTCATCAAATAAAATTTTTTGAAAACGAAAACGAAAACAATCAAATGAATGAATGGATTTAAGTAATTGATCAACCATGCATTCACACCCAACGCGATATTTAACGATAAATGGGTGATATTAAACTATAATAATCAATTTTATGCTTGTACCAATACAGCACCGTCAACATCGCTACTGGGATGGTGCGGTAACGGCGATAGTCCTGGCGTTAGTAGCAATAACAGCGAACGAACAGGAGTACGAAAGGACTCTATTCTGGTCTTTTCAATCTCAGCTTGATCTTCAAAAGAGTGCTTTTTGGGATAAATAATGATTGTAGGCGGGTGGGCGTCATGTGATATTGATCGATTAAAAAGCTTTAGAAAAAGTTTGTGGCCAAATTCTAGAATTTTGAAAACAGCAATAAGCATGTGATATACGTGTAGTTAGGAAAATTAATGCAAGAGTTTATAGTGATCTACCTTTTTGCTGCTGGTCACAGCGTTGTATTCATGATATGCCGCCCGGAAGAATCCCATACGTTGGAGAGTTTTTTGGGGGGTTGCCATTGTTACTGTGATTGTTATAATTGGAGTTGATAGAGGGAGAACTGATCTTCTCGTGTGTGGGTATGTACAATTTATATTATATTCTCATGATGACACCTTTCGATAAGCAACATAACACAAACATCCGTTTATATACAAATATCGAGTTTGTTATGAAATGACTTCAATCGATGAGAACAATGACCGTAACAATAGATGGCATAAATAGGTTTTGGATCAGAAGATATACATTATAATACAACACATAAATAAGTAGACGAACTATATAATACTTTATTTCATCTAAAAAATGAATACGATAAACGTTACTAGTGATTTCTTTTTGGAGTGTATTGTAGAAAGTTCCTCATTTGGTAAACAAGAAATAAGTTGTAGTTCGTTGGAGTTGATAGAGAGAGAGCGTTATCGGTCGGGTAAATGGGATTCAGAGATCTTACTCCATAGAGGTGTTGAATTTAGTAATGTAATAGAGGGTTTCATTCCATTCGCATATATCAGTTCCTCGTAAACTGAACAAAAAATCCCTGAAGTAGTGATAAGCGGTTGAATCATTTTTCTCATACTGCTGTTTATTTATCGTTATGTATTTATTATTGATATGTTTCACAAAATGTTATGTGTGCATCGATAAGAACGAAAGAAGGAGGTGAAGCAAACTAAACTTTTTATTATATACATCGTACACAAACACAAACAAAGTCATGTGAAATATACACAGTACAAGGTCAACAATAAATGTATACGTCATTTATAGTCTTGATAATAAGAAGTTCCACAACGGAAACATTTATCCTCTTGATAGGTAGCCTGAAAGACGATAGTTTTTTGAGTCGTAATATTTCATCGCCGTTAATATACATAGCGAACTAAAGAAGTCGTTCATCTGTACTGTATTTTTTATGAAGCAAATATACATTATGGTAACAGATCTCAAAGGCAATTTTTAATCGAACATGTAATCATGTTTACAATAATAAAAACGGTACGTACGAAAATTTGCATTGCAACAAAAAGTGAATACAAATATTTAAAGCGTTAGTTAGAAGAAAACAAATTAATTAAACAGGAAAATATATTGTTATTAGAGCAAAGATACACAAGATAAATTTTTTTTGTTAAAAAGAATGGTACGGAGGCGAAAAATGAGAGCCGGTTCAAGTTCAAGATCAAGTTCTAGTTCTTGTTCGAGATCTAGATCTAGATCTATATGAAAACAGCCGACTTTGCACATAGGAAAAATACGAAATATAGTTAGCGCCTTTCCTAAAGCATGATAGATCAACAGCAGATCAGTGTACAAAAAAAAAATAGAGCTTAGTCTTTACGGAAAAGCAGAGACTAAAAGTATAAGGTGCTAACTAAAAAGTATTATATTTAACCCAAAAAACTTTAAAATGAAATTAATTATTCTATATAATTATTATTGCAATAAATATGGGACTTTATCGTTGTCCTTATATTCTTAGAACTGGCAAAGTCTGCGGTCGAGGTCAACCAGAAGGATGTAAACGTCATTGGAATTCTCCTACATGGATTCCTTTGTAAAGAATATGGCTGTGATGAGCCATATTCTACGTATGGTGCATGCTGGAAACATGCAAGTAAGTATCGAAAAAGAACAAAAAAAGCAGGCTGAATTACGTGCAAAAATTGTTATATTTGAGAATCATATACCTGACTTACCCAACTAGCAGGAAGTCATAAAGCCAAAGACTCTTCACGCATTAAGCGCATATGTTCAAATCATACTTGGAGAGTCACTTACCACTCATATTGAGAAAGAAGAGAAGAGCGATACTGCGATAAAAATAGTAGAACAAAATTCTAATAATGGCTTTGATACTTTTGATAGAATTCTGCCTACAATATGTTCGATCTGTGAAAAAGAGTAGATGGCGTGGATCATATTACTTTCTAGGTAAAAAAAGGTGAGGTTGTTAGAGCAGACCATAATAGTAGAGCCAGCAAGGTTAAGAAAAACGTTATTATAGATTAAGATCTCGGCTTCAGCATCATTCACAAAACATCGAAATATATAATGCTAAAACAATGCGTAGCCATAATTTGCAAGCTAAACTTACAAGTGGTAGCCGACACTTGATGCTTATTAAAGAACATTGTGGTATTGGTAAATCAATGAGACAGCAGAAGAAATAAGAACACTTTGTCATTCTGATGGATCTTCTGTTTCAACTCTCATCATATCTGGTCGGCGTTCTCTTGCTCATGGGCAAACAGTTCTTTTCGAAGGATTTAAAAGTCTTACCTCGAGCTGGATGCAAAAAAAACTTAATCCTAAAGATACCCCTAAACTCATTATCAGTCCGGAAAGCATTCACAAACTTGGAGCAACTGGCTATGATGTGATTATACTGGATGAGTTTGAAACAATCACCCAAAATTTTAGTGGACCTACCATGAAAAACCAAAGCTAAGTCATGATGTATATAAATCCTTGCTTCAATCTGCATTATTAATATTGGCTTTAATATGCTACATTAGATTCAGACTCGCTTGTACATTTACAAAACATTTCGAAAATAGATTCCGAAAATTCAACCGTGATATGGAACCAGCATATACGAGATAAACGTCATGCTCTTATACATATTAATACCAAAAAATGGAATGTTGAATTAATTGGAGCTCTGAGACAAGGATTAAAAGTCTATTCCAATGTTTGCTAGTGCGGAAATGGCAGAGGCCTTTCATAAGGAATTAAAATCTCAAGGATATCAAGGCAAGTGTTTTTCCAAACGACTATCAGAAACTGAGAAAAAAGAAATATTTGCCGATATCAATAATGCAGTGGCAAATCTTGACTATTTGATTGATAGCAACTCCTGTGATGACTTGTGGAGTAAGTATAACAGTCGAAAACTTCGATATGACGTTTGCACACTTCCGCACATTAGCTGGTCTGACGAGCAATGAAGCATATCAGATGTTGCACCGCGTTCGAAAGCTAAATCAAAATGTAGTACACGTTCTAAAGGATTTACGTGGCGATAATTTGCCAACAGACCGTGAGGATTTACTTCGTTTTATCAGCTATCGATGTAATATCGCAGAGTATCCTGATCTAGAAGAGGCTCATTGTGATAAGATACTTACTCCGGATGGCAGGTGGATTTTTAAGCCAAATGCTTCTTTGGAAACTCATCTTTATAACGCATCTCGTCGCAATGCATCTAGAAATGATTTTGTTAGTTTACTGACTGATCGTCTTAGCGAATGTGGTTATAATATTAATATTGCCGAAGATTGCCCTTCTATCGACTCAAAACTTACAGAAAATAATGAAGGCAAAGAATTACTTTTACAGGCACGTTCAATCAAAAAAGTTCTGGATACAGAAAAATACTCAATGATCGCTAATGCTCAGGTTTTGAGTGATATAGAAGCTTTGGATATTCGAGAATGCTTAGAAAGAGATAGACAGAGTCGATTGCATTATATTACAATGAAAATCCGTGATACATACAAGACTTAGTTTGCACGTATTTTCTTTCTTTTCGTAATTTCGGTGCTTTCAGTTCGTTTCTCGCCTCTGGGAGTATGGATAATTCGTGTTGTCATTTTCTTGAAAGAGCCGACTCTATTACCTTCGGCCCACAAAAAGTCTCGTATAGTGCTTGCGCTTTCAGATAACAAAGACTAATTCACGGGAAATCAAAATAGTAATTTTCTGAACCCTGCGTTTTATTTTATGAATCTATTCATACAAACCTCGTATTTCAACAAGCTCATCACAATTTCGTGAGCCTTTCCCATGTCTTTCCACGTTTTTGGTAAAGGAAATTCTAGTACTGACTTCATCGTATAAATCTCAGCATATTTTAGCTGAAATTCATAAACTATAAATTCATTCACTACGTCTTCAAGGGTTAGTATTACATAATAATATAATAGTAAATAATTTTCTTAATAAAGCAAAACTTACAATATGACTGTAACCCATACAACCTAACTGATGTGATATCAGAATTTGGTCTTAATTCTGCCAATCGATTTATTAAGGTTTTTAGTATTTTCGTAAGCTTCATCCTATCATCCTTAAAATGCGACCAGTCCTTCTTCGCTGGTGGACCGCTAACTTCGATTATGGAAAATTCCTCATCTTCTTCTCTCAGTGTTATAATAGCATCTATTTTTCTCCCGGTGGATCGGCGCTCATTATCTGATTTTTGCAAATTACGATCTTTTGCGCTTGCTTTCAGACATGTTTCCCCGTAAGATGCATACCAACTTCGTTTGTTTTTAATAAAGAACTCAGAGAGGATCGGACCTACTACATTAACTATGTATGTTCCATCAGACATTTTATCAAGAAGCAAGTTCACATTTTCCATTAAATTTACCCTATATAAGAGCATCAAGTTAGTCTCATCGCGTTTATCATGGAAGATCAAGTTTAATATACACTTACATTAACCTTACAAAATTCAACGCAAACTTTGTCTCAAATGAAGAGACATCTATTTTCTTTTCGATGTTTTCCTTTGTCTTTTTGATATCGCGATCAATGATAGTATTCAAAAATAGCTTAAGATCATGACCTGCATTATTTTCTGTTGTATCTTCGTTCCTTCTTATATCGTTAAGCATCTGTTCTACAATATTTTCATCTAAAGTTGCTAAAAAACCGTCTTTATCGTTAGAGTTAAAGAATATGACATCGTAATATTCTGGACTTGTTTTTGAAGGGTTCTTCTGTAGCTGGTATTGTTTGAGCCTTTCCCTAATGCAGATACCGTTTACAATCCAATCGACGCTTTTTCCGCCAACGATTGTCTGATCAGCATTATATTCATCGTCACTATCTTGTAAATCACAGCCGTTATTTGTTTCCCCTGAATCAGCTATGAAAGGATTTAGTTTTGGTCGCTTACGAATGCGCCTTGGCGACTTATAATAGGATGAATTTTCTTCTTCCTCTTCCGACGTAATATATGGTTCGGGTGTGTGATATCCAGTTTGAGATGAGTCGTTATTCTGGTTCTGACTAAATGCTACGATATCGTCAGTAATTTGTTGATGAATTTTCATTATTAATTCCACGTGATTCCGATTTTGAGTAACCTGTAGCATAAATCAGAAACGTTTTGATATTGATGTTGTAAACAATTTCACAAATGAAAAGAGAGTGATACCTTAAGGCGTTGTATTTCAGCCAGCTCAATAGTCTTCTCATTTTCGATTGATGTCAACTTCTTCTGTGTCTGATCATAATCCTCAATAAACTGGAAGTAATCTGTTGTTTTTCTTGAGGATTTCCATGTCTAGAAGCATAAAGTGAAGGAAAATTAAAGGTTGACCGAATAATATATAAACAGGATCAAGACCTACAGTATGTCCAAAGAAACATGGCCATGGCGAACTAATAGTTCAACTAATAGTTCTCCAGTGTGCCACAGGAGGCTAGAGAAAAGTACAGACTAATAGTCGATCTTCCAGTTGACTAATAGTCCCCTGGCTCAGTCCAATGTCTCCATTGCCTCTTCAGACTGTCAGCAAAAAACAACTAATAGTTGCCTTATGATGTACAAGCCCTATCCTCTCGCTTCGAACATTATACATAATACCTTAAACTCTTTGAATAGTTCAGTGGCTTTCTGTCGTATATCATTCTTAATCATATTGTTGTTAATAACGTTTTTGAGTCCTTTCTTCATGTAGTCCACGATCTTCATTTTGTTTCTCTCGAGCCTCTCGTAAGACACGCACCAATCAGCGAACCCATCAAGACTCCATACCGTAGGCGAAGTGATTTGCAGATAATCTCCACCATCAGCCATGGTTAGTAGTTTTGATAAGCCGGAGGAGGATTTGTAACTACTGTTGCGAGGGACTTTTTATTTTTATTCAGGTGTCTGTTGTTGTGACACAACTATATTCTGACCAACGAAAAACTTTGCAATTGTGTTCACATGCAGATTTTGCGTTTCCCCCTATAGGGTCAAAAATATTTGGTATGTTTCCTGATAAAGGCACCCTGCTCTAATAAGGAAATTACTTAGAGGTAAATAGTAATAGACTTGTAGTTAAAAATGAATTGTAAGCCAACCCTCGTTCCTTAGCGGATTGAAACCATATTTATTACTGAGCGCTAACGGGATCAAATCTTATATTCCTATTGGCTAATTTCCAATACTATTACGTTAATGGTAAATTTTTCGAACCGTTATCCATATATAGACATACGCCGTCTTTAATCTTTCTACTTTTAAGTTCGAATTATGATATCATAGAAATCCCGTCGTACAATCTCCTTTTACTACTTATTATCATTTTACTATAGATTGACGCTATCAAGTTCATTAACTCTTCTAATATCTTCAATATTCATCTCGCCTTCTACATTTTATATTATCATACCTCAGGCTCTCTCTCACTCATCTGTGAAGAGTTTCTATCTTGAGAGTAATTTCGCCTTTAGACATATTAGCTTCATCTTCTTGTGCAACTGCTTTCTTGTTTGGCAGTCGGAATTGGCCTAAAAAGAACAATTTTATAGTGCATAATGTACAAGAGAATGGACTTTATTTACATCACACCTCATTCATTAAACTCTTTAGCATCCGATTCCACCATCACTCGGTATGTGAATCAAATGGGGCCGGGCTGATGGGAATTCAACGTATGTAGATTCTCGTTCAAGTAGCGCAATGTCAATAACGGCTTATGTTGATCACAATATCGAGAAGCCCACTGCTTCATAAGAATTTCCTTATTCCTGCGTTGCCCTTCATACATATTGCGAATCTCAACAATATCATAATACGCTTTCTGTAATCGTGCTTTTAAATCTATAATTTCCTTTCTTTGATCTTCTACTTGCTGTGTGAGGTCTGCTATTAGTATTAGTCGTAATTTCTGTTGATTTTCCAATTGCCTAGACTCAAGAAGCTTTCTTGTCTTGCCAAGTTCAACGGATGGACGTGATCGGTTACGTCATCTTCGTCAGTATTGAGTCGCAATCGTTTATTCTCTTGGACAAGACCTGCAAGATGTCAATAAAAATGATTAGTAACAATGATCTGCTTGTAATGTTTCTCACAAATTGAATAAGATTCTAAAACAGAGTGAAGGTTAGAAAGTTGTTCAGGAAGATAGTGAGTAAGGCGCTTAGCCGTTTCCTGATTACTAGCATGACTGCCATTTTTGTGACCCATTTGTTTCACATGTCTTCAACCCAACTTCACTATACTTGCCAACCAAGCTGGAAAAGATGCATGGAAGGTCTCTTGCGCGTTTTTTTTGATAAGCAGACACTGTTAAAAAATTTGTTTGAATACAGCTGAGTTAGCGAGATTACGTTCTTTACTTCGTCTTAATTCGTCAACGCATGCCAAAACTATGATTTTCACGTCTCATTTACTTTTTCAAAGCGAGTTGATTATTTTTTATTATTAGCAAATATGAAAAGTAGAGGTCTTTTTTAGCACGTGAAAATTCACAAAGAATGCAGTATATGAGCCAATCAAATTTCAAGAATTAGCCTGCAGATTATTCTAGAACACGTTTCCTTTTTCGGTATAATCCCTGACTGTAATAGAGTGTGGTTTGGGAGAGCAATTAATCTTTCGCGTAGGGGTGTTCTTCCGACCGGATGTTACCAGATTAGCTTCGTGCTACCGCCCTTAATACGGTAGTTGTTCAATTAAGACCGAATTCTAATCCACAAGGGACCTATTTATATAATTAAATTAAATGCGCGCTTCTCAACTCCCTATCCGAGCTTCAAATCACTCGTGATTCCAAAT